CGCCCCACGAGGCTTTCACTATGCGCCCCTGGAGGGCCTCTCGCTGTATAAAATCGCCCGTTCTCTTCGTAAAACGTGTATTTTTCGTGCGTGCGCCTTCTGGGGCGCTCCGGGGCGGCCCGAGAGCCTCCCAAGACCGCACCAAGACGGTCCAAGAAGCCTCCACGAGGGCCCCGCGACAGGAGAAGGAGGGGGGGGGAGGAGGAGCAGGAGGAGGAGAAGGAGGAGGAGGAAGAGGACAAGGAGGGGGAGGAAGAGGAGGAGAAGGCCGGGAAGGGAAGGGGGATAAGGAGGAGGAGAAGGCGGGGGAGGAGGAGGAGGAGGAGGAGGAGGAGGAGGAGGAGGAGGAGGAGGAGGAGGAGGAGGAGGAGGAGGAGAGGGACGAAGGGCGGGAGGAGGAACAGCAGGAGAAGGACAAGAAGGAGGAGGAGAAGAAGGCGGGGAAGGGAAGGGAAGAAGGACGTGGACGAGGAGGAGGAGGAGGAAGGGCAGGAGAAGGAAGAGGAGGAGAGGCAGAAAGAGGAGCAGGAGGGAGGAGCAGGGGGAGGAGGAGAGGAGGAGAGGGAGCCGATCATCGTCATCAGTGTCGTGATCATCAACGACGTCATTGCCATCGACAAGGTCAGCCCAAACATCTCCGAACATTAACAGTTAGCGGGACATCCCGCTTGGAAACCGCCGACAACCGTAAGATGTCTCCGGGGTGTAACATACTTCCCTGGCTCCGGCACCCGTGCAAGGCCCCAAACACAACCCAAAAAACCTCCCTGTGCCGTCTTGGGGTTCGCTTGGGCCGTCTGGAAGCCCTCTGGGCCAGTTTGCGACCCATGTCGGCTCCCCTTCTCGCTGTGACGGGCCCTGAACAACCTCATTTTCCCACGGTTTGCAAGGAAGCTGTGGTGAACGATCCCGGGGAAAATCCAAGGGGTCGGCGGATGTGGCGGAAGCCTGAAGAATATGTATAGGGGGGGTACATTATTATCGTGGGTATGGGGTTAATCGATCACATTTTCGAAGGGGTCGGGACCCCTGGGGCAGCGCCTTAAAAAATTATCCTGGCGAAGGACCCAACCATATGCAATTGTGAATAACGCTTTGTGGGTGCCGCCTTCGGTGGGGCTCCCTATGGGGCCACGAAAGGCGTGCCACGAAACGCTGTCCTGGGCGTACGGGACGCATGAGGGCGGTAGCACTGGGGCCTTCGGTGGAGCTCCCCATGGGGCCACGAAACGTGTGAGGGGTGTGCCGAAATGGGTGCGGCGCCGCCATGCCAACGCAGCCACTGTGGCCTTCGGTGGAGCTCCCCATGGGGCCACGAAACGTGTGAGGGGTGTGCCGAAATGGGTGCGGCGCCGCCATGCGAATGCAGCCACTGGGGCCTTCGGTGGAGCTCCCCATGGGGCCACGAAACGTGTGAGGGGTGTGCCGAAATGGGTGCGGTGACGAGGGAGGGGGCAGCGGGAGGAAGGAAGGAAGGAGTGAACGCGGGGCGCTGTCTCTTCAAAACGAGGACCCAACACCACAGGATGGTTGGGAAAAACAGATCGTGAGATGCCTGCGCTCCTGCCACCCTCTCACTATCACTGGAACCCCTATGGCCTGGGTGTCCTTCCCATGACCAGGCGGGTAGCTGAACGCAGCGCACATTGCCGTGCGATTCCACCTCGTCGTCCCTGTGCCCCTCCTCCCCTCCACTCCTCCGGCTCCTCCTTCTCGCAAAATTCCTCCTGCCACCACTAATCGACCCCGAGTCTGGTCGGTCCGCTTGCGCACGCGGGGCAAGCATGCACAAAAGGTTGCGCTCTGTTGCTAAACGCAACACCGCCCGAAATAACTCATCATGCTCGATGGCACCGCGTGCGCCCCATATCCATGAGAAGGAATGCCCGCACATGCACAAAACAGGCACATTCTCAGCCTCATTGTCTTCCTCCTCTTGCGTCCATCGTTTTCCCTCCTTTCCCACATCGGTCGCTCGAGCGAGTCCGCGGCTTAACCCATCGAACACGAACTCGGTCAAGCTACGCACCAGCGCACCTTCCTTTCCCCAAATAGAAAAAGGGGGAAGGAACGCGACCGCAAAACGTCACCTGACTCGGCCTCGACCGCAAAGCGAATCAAGAGGTCGCCAAGCAAACCGGGAACGCAACAGGAACCGACCTGCAACAGGCAGACTCACGCAATGAACCGCGGCTTGAAAAGAGGAACGAGCGTGCGGCATGCGTGGAAAAGAAACAAGCGAAGGGGAGAGAGGGGAGGCAATTGGCACGGCGGGTGCGGCTGGCGGAAACCAAGGCTCGACGCGGCCACGCGCCGCGCCCGCTCGGCAGGGCGCAGCGTGCACTATGGGGAAAATCTGGGGACCAACGACGGGCCGACAAGAAACTACTCAAAGGTCAAGGGACGACGGCGCGCGTCAGAAAAAAATTCGAGGCCCGAACGCCACGAGACCGAAAGTGCACGACCGTGGCGGCGGTGACTAACAATGGCACACTCAATAATAGGGGAGACACGAAGGAAGGGGGGGGAGGGGAAAGAGGGAAGGAGGAAGAGATCTGGCGCGCAACTCGCCGCAATTGGAATGCGCAACCCGCCGGCGCGCGCCGGCTACGCAGGCGCGGAGAATTGGTCGGCGCGAAATCCGACGCGAAGGCAAGGCATGCAACAAAAACAAAATAAACTACGTGCAAGGGGCTATCCCTGAGCGGCGAACTGGCCCGAGCGCCGCGGCCACGCAGCCGCGGAGTGGAGGCATCGGGCGGGTTGCACGCGCCACGGGGATGGCCCACGCTGTGCGCGCATCAGCCCTGGAAAGCGAACTGGCCCATTGTCACGGCCCCGCAGCTGCGGAGTGGAGGCGCAGCGCAGGCCCGCGCGCAAGGGCGGACAGCTGCTTGTTCAAGTCAGAGAGTCCGCACAATCTCACAATAAACTGTAAAATGAATTACGCGCTCCCGCCCGACACTGTACGGCACCTGGCTGCCGCAGGTGTGCCAGGGAGCCGGTCACCAATAGCGCGGCGCCTTGGAGCTGAACCTGGGCGCAGTTGCACCACGGGCGGGGATACGCAGGACTCAGGCGTGGTGCATTTCAACACAGGTGAATCAACGACCATTCCCCAGCTGATCACACACTGGCTCTTAGAGAGTTTACGGTGATAGATGCCCCGCCCGTCTCCGAGCGTCGGATGCGTCATGCTAATCGGGCGGACAACGAAGCGGAGCAAGCGATGTCGATACACCCGCACGCCTCTGTGGGAGAACGGAATGCAGTTGGCAGCTGGGCCAAAAACCCTGCTACGGTGGCCAGGATCGCGGGGGTCGGTCCAGCCATGCCGCTCTCCGCGAGGGTGGGGCACAAGAAACAGCCCCAAGAGAGCGAAAGAGTGGGGTTATCACCAGGCCTCCAAACTGGCTCTCGAGCGGGAGCCCTGGCTCCGGGGCTCCAGATGCCCGGGCTGCTTGCAGGTGTTGCGGATCGGTAGAGCTGAGGACCGATCTTGGCTGGGATGCCAGGGGATGCCCAGGGTGGTGCAAGAGCTCCTGGCGATCGCCACAGAGCACCGCCAGTGTTGCAAGCCCGAAAATGGATGATGGACATCGGCCTGTGGCATGTGACATGCCGTGTGGATACGATGTCCAATAACGAACGCATAAACAAGTAAACCGAAGGGTATAACGGTGTACCTTGAGCGGTGGCACGACGAGGCTGCGAAGGCTAGAAAGACATCTCCGCCACAAGCGTGACGTGGCAACTACAAGTGCGGAGCTGAAAGGCCTGCTGCTCGCCCCGAGCTAAGCCAACAGAACCGACTCTCTCATGTGATGCCAACTTCGAATGCGCCAACAGCGCTGACAGGGCAGACATCACAAGATCTCGCCACCTCTCTCTCTCTCTCTCTCCATATCCTTCTGCGTTGTTTCCTCTCGCATGCACGCACACAAACACACCGACACACACACACACACACACTCTTAAGCTCTCGCTCATTGAAGAACACATTGTCCAATCGGGTTCGGCATGCAACAATATGCCTGGCCTGCATGGCGATATTCAGCTCGCCTGTCCACCTGGGCGGTGACAGCATTCACTGACACTCATCCACCACATCAACGACGACTAAACTCCAGGCATCGTCACGAATATTCGAAGGCAAAAACGCCACCCGCATATAATGAGCGCTCATGCATCCGAGGCCAATCAACAAAGGCGTCAGAAGAGGTAATCGATCGGGGCAAGGCTGCCTTTAGAACCGCGAAACGGATCAACGAACGCCAATTATGGGAGTCGGGGTGGCTCTTCCTCCTGTGACACATCCCGACCATCCAAACGCATGAGACCTTGTGTTAGAGCCGTTCGGAGCGCAGTCTTGCGAGGCAGCGGCACAGAGCGACGAGTGCCGCTCGGGGACGAGTTCGCACGAAAATGTTGCGCACGAGCGAGTGGCACTCTCAGTGGACGATGGCTTGTTCTTCTCGGGGGCGGCAAAAAAAGGGGGCGTCCAAAAGGGGGGGGCGCAAATCATGGCCGGCGGCATTTGCGCGGCCGAAGGGAGGGCTGGGGAAGTCTTGAAAAAAGAAGAGGCGACATGACATCTGGGGAGATATCATGGCCCCCCCCCATGATGTCCACCCCCAGCTAGTCATCACCCCCCTCTTTGCTGCCCCCCGATCTTCCTCGAACCGCACGAAAACTTCCACGATTTCTCAACAACGAATCGGAAAATTCAATACAGCGGGAATTTGTTGCGTCGTATCGGGCTGCGTCGGCACGAAGTCGGAATCGAATAGGCCGCGCCAGGATGCACAACGACGCCATGCAAGCATCGGGCCGCATAAGATCGCCTAACATCAGAATCGAACAACGAACCGGCCCGAACCGACATCCAATCCGATCGATCAGACCAGAATGACACCTGATTTCCTTGAAGAAAGCGACGGCGGCAGCGCTGGTGTGTGCTGATCCTCGGCGTTGCGGACCTGCCGTTCCAGCTCTTTTTTATTCGACATACTTGCAACACCCTAAAATCGGCGCAGACTGCCACCTGCGCCCAGAGCACATGCGCGACTGGCATCTAAACTGTACGCAACTCAGACGAGTCGAACAACCTGCGCGCCCTAAGCAAGGATCAGCACGCCATACTTCTTCAAATCGTCATACTGGTTTGCCTTGGCGATCAGATTGAAAGAGCCCAGGTACGCACTGACAGAGAGCATGACAATCATCACCACCAAGAGCGGCGTGAAGTGAAAGTTCGTGTCGAAGATTGGCAACATCACCTCCATGAGATAAGTCGCCAGCACTGCTATTGCCTCTCCAGTATCATTCAGCACGGCGTCAAGGTAGACAAGGAAGCAGACGGTGCTCCATGCTTTCATCATGTGCGAGAGCGCAACACCTACCGTTTATGCATTCAGACCGCCCCAAAAACCGTTTTGCCAGGCCTTACCTTCCACGATGACGAGCAGCGTCAAGATCAACAATCTGGAGAGGCGCTGCTGAAGAGTCTGAATGTACACGGGTTGCGTTCCATACTTCGCCCTAAGCTTCTTAGAATACTTTTCGAGTAAGACGGCAACCAAGCAAGAAATGCTTCCCTTCGTGGCAACATTGAAAATGCCATCAACCGTGGCACCGCTGTGAAGTTTCTCTGAGTCCACGTCGATGCACATGTACGCGATCATGGAAATTGCCACCAATGCCAGCAGGTTCCACTGCAATGAAGTCTGGCCAGTGCCATTGAAATACCAACACATCAGAGCGGTAATCAGCCTGGACTGCAACAAGATTTGGTAGGCACCGCCCGATAATGACGCCATGCTTCGCACCTCTAGGAAGTCACCGATGCCAAAGAGGACACCGAGAAATGTGAATGCGCTGAGTGCTGCAGGCTTCCAGATCAACTTCTGCCGCCCGTGTACCAAGCAATGCTCATGGACCCTGCGGTGGACACACATACATCTCCTGCTGCTGTCCGCTCCGGCAGTCTTGCACGCGTCGATGACAGTGGGGTGGATCGCGCGGATGAAGACGAAGAAGACAAAGAGACAACTTTTCTGTGCAGCTGAATGGACTACCTAATCCTCCCCAGGAGCGTCTTTGAACTCCTGCCCTGTGTAGGGCTTGGCTACTTCTTTCGGCGCCACGGTCTCCCAATTAATCATCCGTCGGTTCGCCAGGCCACACATATGCGAGGCAGGGATTGATCCAGATCCACCGCCTGGGGAACTGACGTCCCGACACTTCAAGGGGCGGTGGATCACCGAAGATATCCAGATTCACCGACTGCCGAGGCTCCGAAGATCGATCCCTCAGGCGGTGGTTACGGATCCGCCACCGTGCCGCGAGGCACGAGTCGAAGTGGCCTCAGGTCCATTGTAATCCTCAGTCATCATGCCTGAATGTAACACATTTCTATAGTTTGTGGCATGTCTCCCGCTGTTCTTCGGCGCTTTTTTCCGCATGATTCTTCGGAGACAAGAGCGCCCTGGGAGCCCTCCGAAGGCACACAAAGACGCATCCCTGAGAACTCTGATCCACAACCTGGGCCCAATGGCGATTAGGGCCGCAGGCCATTGGGATAATTCCCGCCTGGCAACACCGACGACCATCTGTTTGTTATGAGGAAAATCCTGGAGGCCTCGCGCGGCAACTTGCGACCCAATTTACGTCGGATCCACGTCGGATTTACGTCAGCTTCACGTCGGATAATGTCGGATTGACATCTGGCTTCGCCACGCACGTCCAACATCTGACGGGGTGGACGTGTAGACTAGATAACACCACTATTGCGCGCCGCGCGAGGCCCTCAGGATTTCCCTCATTAGTGTTTACCGTCCGCGACAGCAAAACGAAGACTGCTCGACTGCTCGAGTCAAAGCGGCTACGGAACCTGCCGATCCAGCTTTTCAGGGGGCGCGGTGCCAGCAGAGCCTCCGTGAGAGACTGGTCTGCAGGCACCCTCGGAGCCAGCAGACAGCATGGGGAGACGGAGGGAGAGGAGAGGGGGGGAAGGCAGGGGAGAGGGGGAAGGGGAAGACTGAGGGAGAGGAGAGGGGGGGGAAGGGCAGGGGAGAGGGGGAAGGGGGAAGGGACGTGGAAGGGGGAGGGGGAGAGAGGAGGAAGGGGGGCAGAAAGGTGGAGGGAGGGAAGAGGGAGCGAGGAGGGAGGGGACGAGGAGGAGGGGGGGAGGGAAGAGAGGGGAGGGGGAAGGGGAACGTTATGGGGGGAGCGGCTCAGTGGGGAGCGGGGGGGAAACATCGAGCTGGAATCGGCGTTACATCGCCGATGGATAGGCCATAGGCCCTCGGCAACGAATCCTCGCATTCCTCGGCGGGGTGGGCAACCGGGCCTATACTTACAATGAATGTGCGATCGAGAGTCGATGCGCTGCCCCCTGAACCTATCCCCCCTGACGTTGGCCCTGAGGGGTGGAACGAGGCGGCGTCGGCCGTCAACGAGGACTCGAGGCACGATGCAAACTCACATCGCCTGCCACGGCGAACGCCACGAGCCGTCCAAGCCCGCCAACCACCTCCGTAGCCCGAATGTGGCGCTGCACGACGGCATGCCGAAGCAGGTAGTGCGAGGAAGAGCAGGACGGGAAAAGGAGTGAGGATGAGGCGAACGAGAGGACAAACAAGGATGGCGAGGGTGCGAAAATAGCAAAGCACCTCCCGCCGTGACCTTCTCATGCCACGACAGGGTTCGGGAAGCTCACTCTGGCGAAGGGCCACTCTCATGTGCAGCCGACCTCCGAGCGCCGCGCGCCGAAGGCCACTCCAGCGAAAGGCCACTCTTACAGCCGAGGGGGGCCTCTCCCAAGAGTTCCGCCCCAAGGGCGCGGCGAAAGGCCCTGGCCGACGGCCGACGCGGTGCTCTTGTTTCCCCGAAGGTGCGGGCTTGCCCCACCTCGGCTCGGGGACGTTATGTGGAAAATCCAGAAGGCCCCGCGCGGCACTTGAGACCCAATGTACGTCGAATCCACGTTGGGTTCGGGCTACATATGCATCGGGTTCACGTCGGATTTACGGCGGACGTCTGTTGGGACATCGCCGTGCGAACATCGTCCCACATCTGACGGGGCGGACGTGTGACTAGATAGTGCAAGAATTGCGCGCCGCGCGAGGTCTCCAGGATCTAAGAAGTTTGCCTGATGTTCTGGTTCTCCTGGGTACCCCCTTGGAGCTATTCAGTCGCGACCTCAAATCCAGCCTCTAGGATGTGGGTATATGTGTCAAGGCGTGGGTGTCCGTTAAGCTGACGCGCTGTTGTTATATACGTGTACACGCATATATTGTGCAAAGGCCTACGCGCACGACCAGGGATGGCGATAGCCCCTGCGCATCGGATAATCATAATGGTAAGAAGACGGGGTGGAACACCCGCGCGTGGGATATTTCAACGACGCATTGTGATGCCGATGGCATAGTTACAGAACATCCAAGTTATCTCTGCCAACTGAAAGAATTTGATCGTACAAACTCACGCGCAATACTAGCAAACTCGATCACCCCAGTGAGACGGTTGGGGATGGCGGACAATGCCGAGAAACTTGGGCACAAGTGCGATCACGGTCGTGCTCAAGAACAGGCGCGAAGCACAATTAACTTCAAAGGAAAACGTGATGCAAGGACCTACGCGCGTGACCAGGGATGGCGATAGCCCCGCGCACGGGAGAACAGGAGAGGATGGCGAAAGCCCCCGCGCACGGGACATTTGGACAACGCATCGTGATGCCGAAGGCATACAGAACATCAAAGTAAGCTGCCCACTCAAAGAAGCTGATCGTACTAAGTAATGCACAATATTAGCAAACTCCATCGCCCCATATTATCCAGCATCGGGGTCTGGTGAGGAATCACCGCGACAACGAGCCGCCAAAACTGAACGAGGACTTGGCAGAGAGCATCTGGTTAACGAGAGCAGCGGCAGACAGCTGGGCGCTCGACATCTCCTCTAGCCGGCGCGCGAGGCGGCCGGTCTCCTCGTAGCGGCGCACGCCGGCGCCGCACTTCCAGCGGCCATGGCGCTGCGCCTCGGCGAGGGTGCGTCACTTGAAGACAAAATTGGTCGACGCGCCTCCGCGCCTCGAAGTATGGGGGGCTCAGCCGCGGCCGCTTCAAGCCAGCAGCATCAGCTAGCTGCGCGAAAAGGACTTCGAACCCACGGGCCGCGAACGGGAAGAGCGGCCTGGCGGGCGGCGCGGCCGCCTTGAGGTCTCGAAAAAGCCCGGCAACGCAGCGCCCGGGTGCCGCGCCTGCGCCGCGGGCAACCGCGCCGTCGCACTCGCCGGACTTCGTGGTCACGGAGGCATCTGGTAATCGAGACCTGGGCGTGGGCCGACGTCGCGGAGTGCCGGGGGCGCGCGGCGTCGCTGGCCTTCGCGCTGAGCAGTTCCATGAGCCGCAGGTAGCAGTCGAAGGCCACTGCCACGGCGGCCCCGAAGATGCGCATGCGAGGCATCGGGGATGCGAGACCCTGGTCGTTCATCAGCGAAGCGGCCCCCCAAGGGCGGGGGCCCCGCCGCCCCCCCCGCGGCCGCCTTCGAGAAGCCCATGGGCGCGAGGCGGGCCCAGGGGAACTCCAGCGCGCCCTTCAGGTTGATGCGCCCCTCGAGCGCATGACTGCACTGGGCCGCGCGCGCGGCGAAGATCCCCTCCCCTGACAAGAAGATGTGCTGAAGGTGGTGCTTGCCCCTCACCATGAGCTCGCCCCTCTGCTGCGCCGTGCGTCGCTGGTCGCGGCGCGCGTCCCCGAAGAGCAGCACCTCGGCGGCAGACCGGGCGCAGTGCTGCTGCGTCGGCGGCTTCGCGCGGCGCCGAGCGAGGAAATATGCTCGCCCCGGCTACGCGCCGGAGCTGCCGGGCTGAAGGAGGTGCACGGCGTGCCGAGATGGACGCGCCACACCTCGCGGCGAACGATCAGAAAGCGGATCACTTGGGCGACGCTCGGGCGGGTCAGATCGCGCCGCGCCCCCCGCGAGATGTCGCCTGGCGCCCAGCTTTGGAGGCCCTCGTCGAGGCAGGCGGCCGTGAGGCGGGCGCAGCCGGCATAGAGCTGCAGCGCGTGTCGCTGCCGGCGCCGGGCGCGGGGCTGAACTGCGAAGCGACGCGGCCCTGGCCCGCCCGTCGTCGGCGTCAGTCGGGGGTCCAGCACACCACCGTACTTATTCATGTCAGTCGCGGTCGACGACTGTCGCGGGGCCAACGCTCCTCCGCGCTTGTTTATATCAGTCGCGGTCGACGACTGGTGGGGCGAACGCTCCTCTGCGTTTGTTTATAATCGCGGTCGACGACTGGTTGGGGTCGGTTGAGTCGGCCGGCAGGTCGCGGGCGGCTCCTCGCTGCGTCGGGCCTCGCGCCAGCTCGAAGCGGCCCGCCGCCCTGAAGTCGTAGTCGGTCGGGTTCCGCTTGCTCTCGGGGCAGCGGCGGTAGCGCTGAATGCCAGTGGCGAGCTGTCGAGCCGCCGATTGGCGGGTTAGCTGCCGTAGCACCGGGTTGGCGCACCTGCCCTTCTCGAAGGCCATCACATATGAAAGGTTGTCGCCGATAGGAAGGGCGCGGCACCCATGGGCCGCCGCCGACCGAGTGGCCCGCCTGAGGCCCGGCAAGGTCGCCCGGCCCTCGAGGACGTTGATGGGCGCCGCGAAGAGGAAGGCGCCGCGGACGACCAACTGCCATCGATGCGCAGTGAAGGTCGAGTCGGGAAGGGGCGGAATGCCGCCGCGGCAAGTCGCGGCCGCGGTGGCCTGGAAGTCAATCCTGCCGACGCGCCGGCGCCTCTCGGCGCAGCGCCCAGGAGGCGGCTGGCCCGGCCCCGCGAAAGCAGCGTCGTTTTCGCCGACCGCGGAGAAGCTGGCCAGCGGGGCGACCTCGGTGCCCGGGGGGTCGCCTGGGTCGTCGGCATACCTGTCGAGGGCGAGGAAGCGCCAACGCTCTCGGTAGGCCCCGACGTCGCGCAGCTCGTCGGGGTCGAAGTGCGACGCGGCCATAGCGTAGCCCCACGTGCTGGCGTCGGAGCAGTGCGCCCGCGGATGCCAGCTAGCACCGAGGTCGACCCTGGCGAGCGGGATCAGAGCCTTCACGAGGGTCAGCTCGCGCAGCTGCTCGACGCTGAACTTGCATTCTAGGGCTCCGAGGGGGAAGGGGGCCAGCTTACTTTATCCTCTAGAGCTCCCTACAAAGAGTGATGCCACGCCAATGGAAATCAACGCACGTATAGTTCTCACGTGTCCTTAAGCGTCCGTTTTCTCATCTTCTTCAGTCGCTGGCGAGGGGCCGACAGGCCCTAAAAGAGCTGCGTGCACGTGTCTGGATGCAGCTGGGCGGCAGACGACTCGGGCACCTGAGACCAGGGCCCTGCACAGAAAAGTCACCACCAATAGAACTTTCTCCAACACTGCAAGGTGGAGCCAAAGATCGCGCCGTGACAACGTGACGATCGGCAGAGCTGGAGAGGAGGAAGCGGCCACCCCATACAGACCCCTTCTAAATCGAGCCCGAGAAAGAACGTTTTGAAAACTCATATTCTAGGGCTCTGAAGGGGGAAGGGGGCCAGCTTACTTTATCCTCTAGAGCTCCCTACAAAGAGTGATGCCACGCCAATGGATATCAACGCACGTATAGTTCTCACGTGTCCTTCAGCGTCCGTTTCCTCAT